CAGTCCAACAGGACGATCTGTGATATAAATAGTTACTCTGGCAATTCTGAATGTTTTCGTTGCGTAATTTAGTAGGGATATTTTGGAAATCCTAAGAAACAAGAATATAAAAACGAAACTCTATTTCTCGATCCAAAATAGAAAAGCAACCCCTTAAAATTGGTATTCGATCAATCCAACAGAACAGCCCCTGATATAAACACTCACAACTTTGACAATTTCCAATTTTTTCAAATTTAACCTGCCTGAAATATCGTAAAGACCACAACCAACAATAACACATGTCAGCGATGCCCTAAAATCTATCCTGTGACCCAGAAACAAAAAATGGAGTAGCCCCATTTAACGAAATTTCACCGAGATATGGTCGCGTCACTTTTTCCCCTGAATCCCATGCTGCCAACGCGAAACATCGTCCAGGTCCAATTCACCCGGGGATTCTTTCGTTGGGTAGTTCGCGCGAGGGACGAAGTTAAAATCCGAAGGATCTCGAGAACGGGGGGGTCGATGTGGCTCGAGAAGAACCGGGAGCGAAGCAGGAGGGTGGATGACGAGATCGTGGACGCCGGATTGCGGATTCCCGAGGGGACCCGACGGAAAGAGTAGAACGGTTACTCGTTCCTCTTTCACCCCCAGCCCCTGGCTGTCTTTGTGCACGTACACGCGCCCGTGAACGGCGCAAAAGAGTGAGAAGCGAGGAAACCGAAGCAAAGAAAACAGAGAGGCGCGGAGATCGAAGCAGTAGGGAAGGAAAGAGCAGAAGCAGAAGCAGAGACAGCCTGTCCGGGGGTGTGGCGAATGGCGATTACGGCTGGCCTAGCCTAGGAACAGCTATCTTCCATCTCGAGTCTAGACTTTAGAACGTATAGCTAACGCGCTAGGGAGTCCCAACCCTTCCTCGTTACTTGCCATCCAGGCCAGTTCTACCGTACGCTCCAAAAATCATTTTTACGCCTTCGGAAAATTGTAGACGAAAGCAACGTTAACCCTTTCAGACCTGGCGTCCACAATCGAGGGGACAAAATTTATATTTACCGACGCTATCGTTTAGTGTATTTTCTCATTTGTGCACACGAAGGAAAACCAATTCTCCTCGAAAACTACACTATTAGAATTTTTTTTTTTATTTTTTCCATACTGATTTTAGTCCAAGTTAACACTAAAAATTAAATTACATTGGTACGAGAAAAAAAATATAATTCAGGTCTGAAAGAGTTAATAACTGTAGAATTTTAAAAAGAATTTCAACAAATCAACAGTTAAATTGGCTATCTCGTAAGAAATTATATCGAATATATATTGTGAATAAATGTTAAACCTTATTTTCTGATGTATTTTATTTTTTCATTAAGTAACAGTGTAAGCTCGAAGGAATTGAATTTCAAAAATGAAAGAACATTAATGAACCTAGGACTTAAATAGTGTTTATGACTTCAGGATTTTGGTTTTTAATAATGGATCCACACCGATACATGGATACCAGACTTTTCACTACGAATCTAAAGAAACTAACTCTGAAAACATGGTGTTAACTCTTTGCAATCGCAATTTTCTGATTTCAGTAGCAAAAGGTTAAAGTAATAAATTTGGAAATAATAAGGTTCTAAAATAAATGGTACAACAAATGTTATACTAATTTCCAAATTAACTCAAACGAGATTTTTAGCTCCGCAAGGTGTTAAGATAATAAATAAAACCGCAAAGAGTTAAAATTATAAATTTGAAAGTAGTAAGATTTTAAAACGAATGCTGCAAGAAATGTTATATTATCTAATTTCCAAATTAACTCAAAAGAAATGTTTAGCCCCGTAGAAACTTTTACAAATATTAATCTGACGATGAATGTGTTAGAATTCTAACGTTTCTGTTCGTAAACTATTTGTATTAATGTTTTTGACTACTAACACACGAAGACATTTTTTCTAAACTTCCTTTCTTCCTTATCGGGTGCGATATTCCGAATAGAAGTCGCGCGAAGGATGGCAGAATTACATTTCTTAGAAGGAAAACGGAGGGGGGATACGACGACGTCACACTCCTGACACTTGACGCTACCTCGGGGGATGATTCCCCCCATGGCATAGCTGTATCCCCAATGCAACGGGTGTACAAAAGTATCAAACTGTTACTATGTCAAAGAAATCGAATCGACACCTTTCGTTCGCACTGAGAATGTAGTAGCGTATGCCTGAACATATTCTGCGATTCTAAAGTTTAAATTATTAACTCGTTGGTGCAACAAAGACTAATTTCATGCATCCATCGCCTTTTGTCATAAATTATGGGTCGGAAAACAATTATAGATTACAATGTCACGCTAATTTTTTGAATGCAAACAACTTTGCAAAACCACGTTTCGCATCGTCATCGTAGTTAAATCGTTTCTTGCTTAACTTCTTCAGGGACGATTTTTTTTCGTTATTATCAAATTTTTGTTCTTTTTAATATTGACAGTAATTATAACTATAAAGAACGCGAAGAGGTTGAAATATTAAAGATTACTATTAAAAGTTAAAATATTTAAAAAATATTAAAATTTTAAAGAAATTCTTCGCTCTGTGGATACTGGTCAAAGAAATGTAAAAACATTGCTCTTTTTTTTTTTTTCATACTCGGTGCAGTTGGAATTCCAGTCTTGCGTCACGCGAGTTAAACGAGCGTGTGTGACGCGCAATTGTTTTACATCGTTTACAAACTATTGCGCCGTGCTGTGCCATCCTGCACTCGATAACTCTAGTCTAAAGCAATGTCACGTGTGCTGCGGTCCGTCAATCAAGCTAGGCGAGCCTGTGGCACGATTTGATAACGGCACACGAACGAATTCTGAATGAAATTTTCTATAAAATTCGAATGAAATTCAGACGTAGAAATTCTTGAAACTATCGACCTCGCATAATAACGATTATCTAAGGAGCCGCAAGATATCTTGAAGATTCGAACTACGGAAAAGGAAGTACAACTTGAACGCCAGAAACAGCCCAGAAACGTGTGCAAAACGCCATAAACTATCTCAAGGACTCTAAACCACTAATCAAACAGAAATGCAATTAAATGCGTCGCTAATTACCAAGCAGTAGATGCGACGAAAAATAAACCCATATAAAAAAAAAAAATTTCTTAAAAGTCTAACAACTTTCTCAGGTAGTTATTAGAATTAAGAAAGTATTCACATTCTTTTTGAGATACACATGCTCTCCGTTTTTCCTTTTAAATCTATAGTTCTCCCTGTTTTCGTCCGAAAGCTCGATCGCAGCTCTGTCTGTAAACTGTTTTAATAAAAGAGAAAGAGGGAAAATGCTAGATCGCCTATATCGATGTTGCTGGAAAGAGAACGTGAACGCGTGTCGTCGCGCAACGAACGTCGCAGATTGGAAGATAGCATCCGATGGCTTCGTCACGCGTATCTGTAGTTGCTCGACGGCTCAACGGCTCGGTGGTCCTTCGGTTCAGCCTCACCAACGAAGAGAGAAGACCAGGAGGAAGTAGAGCGACGGCTGGATGGGACGACGGTTCCTCCGCGAGTGAATGGATGGGTGAGCTGCGAGTTATCAGGGACAGGCAGGCTCGTGGCTCTAGCACACCGTGTGGGTTTAGAGAAGTCGGGGGAAGATGGAAAGGGAAATCGAGGAGTTGGGGAAGTTCAGGCCTAGTACTATCCATGAACGGATGGTTTGGGGTGATCGATATGCTCTGCCGTCACTAATGTCACGACGCCACTACGTATATACTTCCGAACGCACTGTACTTGGCGGATAGTGTGAACTACCTTAAATAAGAAACATCAAACTCGAACTTGACTGATAGCAAAATCGTTATTAACCCTTTCCAGTACGTATACACTTCGGAACGCACTGTACTTGGCGGATAGTGTGAACTACCTTGAATAGAAATCATCAAGCAACGGCAAAACATCAAAGGAAAATCGTTATTAACCCTTTCCTCTTGGATGAGAATTGTTTATGTTACAATAAATGACATCGCAGCTGGATGAATGCGTCTAAACAAAGCTGTCTCACTGTTATAGATAAAACTATACGAGGCACCATTTAGGAAAATTAGTTTGTATTCCACTGTGTCGAGTATAGTATATTGTGCAGACCATGTCACGTTTCGTGGTACAACTGAAAAGCGGATAATCGTTGGTGAAAAAGAAAATAAAAAATGTGTAATAAAATGTTATACGTAGGAGGTTCTGTTTTCGAAGAATTGATAGTCATCCGCGAAGGGCATAATCCTTTCTGAAAAGTTCAATAAAGAAGCGAGGAGTCAAATGTTACCATACTAGCTCTAGAATTGACGCAGCCCGCCAGTCGATCTGTCGTTCGAGTTGCCAGATACCAGGTGCAGGTACTCCTAGTAGATCGCAATGATACCTACAGACGATCGAGGGTTTGTAGCAAATCTAAAATGAAAAACTGAAATTCAAGGCTTTATATAACAATAAACAACGTTGCATAAAATGTTAACCCTTTGCAGTCTAAATTTTCTGGTTTCTGGCACATTTTTGTCGAGCCTCAGTCGACATAGGAACGCAAAGGGTGTAAATAACAAATCTGGAAATAATAAAGTTCTAAAATCAATACTACAACTAATGTTGGATTATCTAATTTCCAAATTAACTCTAAAGAAATTTTTATAATAAATAAAAACATAATACATAAAGTTTCATTTACAAAAATGAATCCGTTCTCTGAACCTCGCCCACCATTATTTCTTACTTTCTACTAAATAATTTTTGCAAAAACAATTCTTCGATAGCCCCTTCTCCTTATGATACATTTAATGTTATAAAATATCCTACCGAAGAGGATTCGATACTTCAAAAATAGTTTAATAAATCTTCTTCAAACTACATCGCCTATGAATTAAAATTATATTTGTTTCATCGTATAGCACAACTACAAACCTGTATCCAACGATCATCGATCGTTAAGAAGATCACGCTCTCTACCTTTTGTCGGCGTGGACGTCGCAACTAAAAATGAACAAGATAAGTGAAATCTAGTTCGTAATTGTACACTTTATTAATTTCAAAAAACCAAGGATACTGTACATTGCGACGTTAGGCAAATCATGAAAAATCGTCGATCGAAACGCATTCGTTTCCGGATGAAATTTTGTTATACGCATCGCGGCGAAGCTTGAACTTGGTTTCACGTAGCAACTGGGATTCGGTGATTGTAAAGCAACACGCGTAGCAAGATATCAAGACTTAGGGGTTAGGTCAGCTAATACATAGAGATATGGGATTTATTAAATATCAATTGATACGTTGATCATCGACATGATCATCGCCATATCGGTTGAGTAGGTACAATGTGGTTGTGCATTGCAGTTTCATAGAAAATGTTATGCCGTTATTTAGCTTAAGTTTATGATTTACGAATACGCATGGTTATCGTTATCGCCATACGTCAGTCGAGTTATCGGTACACGTATTAGGATGTGTCGCGCTTTTAGTTTACATTTTTTTTTTTCATTTTTTTTTTCTCTTTTTTCTTTTTTTACCGACTAAGTCTAATCGGCCATTAGAGCAGAGTTCCAAAAACGTCACTGCCAGCTCTACTTCTTCGGCATCTTCCTAAGTAACTTGGCGCACGTGCGAACTCATGCGAAATTAATCCTGGAAAATGTCGTTGTACGTTTGCCGTACGCGCTTAGCGGTGGCAGTGAATAAGAGTGAGCTTCCATTTTTATTGATTTCGAGTAACTAGGCATTTTTTCGTTTTTTCATCGTTTTTTAACTCTCCCTCTTCGATTCTCACAGTTTTTGCTTTCGCACGATCCATATCTTCGTCTATTTCTCAAACTGTTTCGACTAGTCGTCGACGGTTCGTTGCTCTTCATAGTTTCTTATACCAAAAGAGATAATGATCGCCTTCGTTGATTTGCAGATCGTCGACGCCTGAAACATTTCCTCCTTAGACCACGATTCGACATCGCACGACGAAACACGGCGAACAAACAGCAACTTGGAATGATATTTGAAAAATACCTGGGGACATGAACATAATATTTATAAAAAAAAAAAAAAAAAAAACAAGCAACGCTTTTCTTCCGACTTGATGTACGAATTTTTAGATTTCCAACTGAAAACGTATTCTTAACGAAATAAAACGTAACCTGTGTTGCTTAGGGACAGTGTAGCTTTCTATTACTGAAAAAATGTCTAAAATCGATTCAGTAGTTTCGGAGATTATCCCCTACATACAAACAAACAAATAAACAAACTTGACCTCTTTATATTATTAATATAGATTATAAGAAAAAGAAATTGTTCTTTGTCCCCACGATGCTGTTCGTTCGTTGTGTCGTTAAGAATCGCTCCCGTACGTACCTCCAGGGGCAACCAACTGATTACCAGGGGGCGAGGATGGATCAGGTGGCAAAGGGAGCCGGTAAAGGAGCCAGTAGTGATAGGACATCGGCTCCTCCTTGTAACCGGCTATCGTGTGAACGTAATGTCCGTTTGGCCATTCGGATGCCACGAACTGAAAGTGCGGCGACATTTCTGCGGCAAGAAGCATCACCTCGTAGAATCTCTCGTTTTTAGGCGCGTTCACGGTCAGATTGTACGTCTCGTTAACGTGACTGCCGACCCACAGAGTGTACGAAACGTTCACTATCACCGGCGCAGTGGTTCCAACGACCACGCCGTTGTCCGTGTTGCTGGAATTCACCGCGTTCCCAACACTGTTTCCTCTGTTTCCGTTGATCCCATTGTTTCCGTTGCTGGCGTCGCTACTCACACTTTCGTTACTCGCGTTATTCCCGGATACCGACGATACGGCTTCGTTATGGTTGCTCGTGATCGTCGACTCTGCGTAAACATGTCAAAAGGTTCTCAAGAAGATACGGTACAGTCTGTAGATTAACCCTTTCAGACCTGAATCATTTCTTTTTCTCGTACCAACATAATTTAATTTTTAAGACTAACTTGGGCTAAAATTATTATGGAAAGAATAAGAAAAAAAAATCCTAATAGTGTAGTTTTCGAGGAAAACTATTTCTTCGTGTGCATAAAGACATTCGCCCGAAACGATAGTGTCGGTAATTGTTTAATTTTTTGTCCTCAATTGTGGATGCCAGGTCTGAAAGGGTTGACGTGTTGACCGCCAGACTAATACTTCGGAAAATTTTTACTGTGATTAAATTTCGATTACGAACTATTGGAAACTACGTAATCAAACATTTACTGCGGTACTTATTTTTGTAACTCCATCGAAGTTTAAGTATTTCGTTCAAATTCATTTTCATTGGCAGGTAACTTTCAGAATTAATTTTGTTTTGGTTGATAGTTTGTAGTGAAAAAAAAAAAGAAATATTCATACATGTCGGTTAAAAAGCACTGTCGACCACGTATGGGTGACGTTGCGATCAACGTGTTAAGGATAATTTTACTTATAACAAGCCAACGACGTGCGAAATTCAAGGCTCAAGGTGGCATGACACTGTAAAACCTTTTGAAAAATCGATTATTTTTGCATTTATCGAGAGGGACACATCTTATAGGTATCTAGTTTGAGAAGTTTCTGGGTTTTTGTGTTCTGAACTACATCCTCTGGTCACAAAGCTGCCACCAAGTTCTTTTTCCCCATTGTCGATGATATTGCGACACCAAGTTTTCTCCCTTTAACCCTTTGAGTGCCAGAGGAAATTTTCATTCATATCAGAGAAATACCAGACAATTTTAAGCAAAGATGCATGACTGTGAACAAAAATGTACATATCGGTCAATTTCGTTTTAAGGTTCATGAAATTTTTACACGATACTAAAAACATGTTAGACTTCCTTCGAAGTCTGTACATTTGTTTTTGCTTTCTTTTTCGCAAAGGAAAATTGATTTCTTAATGAGTTACAGCAGTTACAGCTTCGAGCAGCGATATGTCGCTCCTTGGCACTCAAAGGGTTGTCCAATAAAGCATAATGAGAATTTGAGAACGATTCAAGGTACAGTCTCTTCAGAAAGAGTCTTTACAAACATCTTTTTGGAGGATCGTTACAGTGTCGTACCTCTTTCAGCTTCTTCCAAGTTAAACACTCACCATTACCGTTACCATTACTGGTGGAGGTAGTGGTGGTTGCGATGGTGAGTCGCGGTGGCGAGGTATCGCTGAGTCCTTGGCCGCAGTCGAGGATTCTGATGCTCGCCAAACTTCGAGGAGTGACTCCAAGGACAGCCTCCGCGGTTGCACGAATATCTCCGCCGAAGGAACCATCGGGTCGCTGTTGACTCGACAGCCACACCAGTGCAGCTGATCGGTTCCAGCTATCGGCTGGCTCGTTCTCCGCTTCCTCGAGAGCCTGCATCACCAAAGCCGTCGTCCGAAGATCTCCAAAGCTACCGTCGAGTCTTTGCTGCTGCGCCAAACCAATCGACGGTTTGCGCAGGAAATGGTGGAGGTTTCGATGTTTGTGGTCTTGGACGATACACTTCAGGGCTAGGATCACCATTGCGACAGTATCTGAAAAAGGACGAGTGTCAGAAAAATAACACTTCGATCAAATACAGTTCATAGGATTCTTTAATTCTGAAGAGGCTAAAAGGTGATGTCGTTTCTTTTACATTAAATTCAAACAAATAAAGTAATAAGTTTTTATTTTTAATCAATTATGTAACCGTCCTCGTTATCGTCAATCTTTTGCCATCTAGTGTCCAAACTTTCAATGCCAGATCGATAAAAATCAATGAGCTGATGAATGATAAACAAGTATTGAAATTCGCAAAATGACAATACTTTCTGGCCCTCCTAATACATTGTTACTTTAACCCTTAAATGCCCTAAGTTTCAAATTTGATACCGAACTTTTAATACAAATCGTGCGCTTACAATTAGTTTCTTTTTATCAAAATTCATACCTGCTTTTTACGGAATAAATATATAAAGTATGTATTGTGATTTTTTGTTACTAGTTTTCCCTTTATCTGGCTACTGAAATAAATACATTGATATCTTTTTCAATTTAATTTAGAAAATCAGGCTTCTAAGGGTTAATTTTATGAATTACTCCACGGCGAGAAATCGAATATTTAAGTTTCAAATATCGCCCATTCTGTCAAATTTCTTTTAATCCTTTTTTTCTAGATTCAAACTATAAATATAAACACACTCGTAGCGAATAGAACAAAATCAGTTTTCATTAGTTCGAGCCGTTAGGACGTACGAAACTTGCAAACAAATTGAGCAAGACAATGAAATATTTCAGAGAACTCTGTATATGTATAAACAAAGATAAATCTACCAAATTTCAAAAGTTTATGACGAGTACTTCAACTACAAAACAATTACGAAAATTTGCCACGAAATTGGTCAGAAAATAAAAACTATCCGCTTAGCCGACGTTCCTTGTTGCGACTTTTTGCAAAACGAGCGCGTCGCTCACCGACGTTGTGATCCTGAGCATCGTTTGCGATGTCCATCAACCGACGTATCTGTCTCCTTCGCACGTGACCCTGCGCGTTGCACGCAGCCAGCGTTGTGAGGGCGAACTCGTAATCCGTAGGTGGCTCGTGATGCTGGAGCGTTCCGATCAGGTCGTGGCCGTGAAACTGTCTCGGATCCGTACACATAGCGTTCAAGGCGAGGGTGTAGCGCGCCAATCTCACCGGAGAGAAACCGATCTCTCTGTGCCTGAGGAAATTTATTCGATGGTCATCCGTTCGGGCTTCGTCGAGAATCGACATTATAAGATGTAATTACATTTCGTAGAAATCGTTTCTATTCATGGATTATTAAGACCTATGTATCTTATAAATATCTTATAGACATCTTATAAAAAAGAAAGAACTAAAATTATTTGACGAAATATCGATATATTAGCAAGTGATCTGAAAGTTACACTGGCCCATAGCGGTTAAAAAATTCATATATATTGTATGAGCTTATAGGCAAGCATGTGGCAATGATTCAATTTTTATTATAGAAACCAAAAGGACTGAACTTCTTTCACCCTGCCAGATTATTATGCAACAAAGATCTAAACCCGACTTCTCCGTCGTTCTCTTCACGGTCAACCATCGCAAGTTCGGTATAATCAATTTAATTGCGAGAACACCAACTTTCACTTAAACTTTACCTCCAAAGTAGCAACACAATTTCGAGCTCCATCTGTTTGCTGCTCAGCTGCAACTCGAACGGCGCCGGAGGAGCGACGTTGTCCTCCCGCGAGAGGTTAGCCAGCCGAAGGACCAACAGGACGCGATGCGTATCGTTCCCCCAACCAGCGTCTTTGTCCCGCTGGCTCCACAGCCACACAGTCGCGCGCTCCAAAATGCCCTCCGCTTCCGTGTCGGTCGAACCGACCTCCGTCAGATTTCCTATCGACCATATACGCGTTAAAAAATTCGCGTCCTCCCCGGTCCCGTTCCACTGCTCTTTTATTTAAGAAAAACAAATGTTTCCAAACACGAAGAAAACGTACCTTCTCCGTGAACGACGCCGAGCGTCCACGAGCACAACAAGAGAAGGATCATCACGGCCGCCATGCTCGCCCTTCCCCACATTTTCACCGAGGATCGAACGATACACATACAGAATCGTCGGCTACCGTCTGAAAGAAAATAAAAGAATATTTATTGTGATCGTTTCGTTTCGTTATCGGTCCATTACGCGGCCACACCTCCCCCGTCCGTCCTTTTCCTTGCCTCGAAACCCCCGGAGAACGGTGTCCCGACTCGGAAAACTCGCGTCGATCGCTTCCAATCGACGGCCAATTACGACCGACGCTCGACCAACGGCGGATTCAAGCGATCCGTTCCACGGACACCGGCGAATGGAGAGACACGAGGACGCTTAGCGTCGCGACGCCTGCGGGAACACTACTGGGAACAACGCGATATTGCGTGGGATCGATATCGTAGCAACCGTCGTCCTCCGTGGCGACGTATATGCCCGTAGTTACTCCTTAACTATATAGGCAGATACGTGTACCTGCGCTCTCCCTTTCCGTGCTATCGTCTAGTTGTTAGTCTCTTTCTTTCTACCGTCGCACAGTGGGACAAAACGCGTCGCCCCTATCACCCACGCCACCGACATCGCCATCGCCATCGCCACCGCCACCACCTAGATCTACCGCAGCTTTAACCCCAGCCGCCAAGTAGTCTGCCGCTACCACTTTTACATTTTTATCGACATCCCTGCGCGCGATACGGACTCGTGCTTCGTACCGTACGAACGACGGTTACATTTTATTGAAACGGTAATTGATTCCATTTACGAAAATTAATCGTTTGATTGGAAACTTGATTTTTCGAATATTCGACGAGTTATAGACGATATTAGATGGGGGAACGGAACTAAAATTTCTTTCAAAATCGATCTTTTTGGAAGGGGAAGGTAGACTTCTCGAAAGATACACAATTGAAGAAGGTTGAGTCAAATTTTGAGAAGAAAATCTCTAGAATTGATAAAGTTACAAATATGATCCAAGTCACGTTCTTTTCAGAAAGCTAGTCGCTATGACCTGATGCAGACTTTTTTCTATTATTTCTGTTTTAACCCTTTCCACTCGAGACTTGACTCTCGGTCGGCACTAGGTTTCACGCACCAAATCAACCAGCAATAACGTTTGCTTAGGTTTAATTTCTTTGGAACTCGAAGTGTCGATAAAATGATTGTCGGCGAGACAAGGATGATCTAATTCTTAAATATCAAATTAGAGATCTCATTTTCGAAGTCAATCTTGCATTCGTGACGATAGAATGCTAGGAAAGCATCTCGAGTTGGTGACAGATAACAGAAGAAAAGGCCTCGAGTGCAAAGTTTTAACGAATAGGTGACAGATTTTGGTAAAAATTCAGACATTTTTTTCTAATGATCAGTTATTAATTATGAAAAACAAATTTTATCTACTAATAAATACAAATCCAATATTAAAGATTAGCAATAATTCATTAATTAATTCTTCCCTCCCAAATTAATATTAATTCTTTGTTGAGATATGGGAAAAGTCCTACGTCAGGTCGTGGGAGTATTCTCGATACTCGAGTTGGCGCGTAAACCACAGTGGCGACTGAGAGTCGCCTATCGTGTGAAAAGTGTTAGCATTTTAGTATCGTTTCGCTATAATAAATGCACAGTGTAATGTGTCAGTGTCGGGCAAAATGTAATTACCGGGCACTTGGTAATCGTTAATCGTAATTAATAATTAATGAGTGCTCGACGGACAGCGGTTTTAATTTATTCACGACCTGAGGTTAATATAAATTAATATGATTAATGTTTCATTCTCTATAAATGCTTTATATGTTCTTCATATTTACGTGAACCACAAACGCATAAAATCTGCGGTAAATGACAGTAAATTATTAACTATGATTATTTATAAATAACCAAACACGATTAGTTCTGGAAGATTACAAATTACCGATTTATTGTTGCAGACTACAAGTGCAGTGTACGACTGATGGGTAATCTGACAATTACAAATGACGATCGCAAAAGCGATCACAAAGTAATTATAAAACAATTACTGCTCTAGTATGCAATGAGTGGAGTGGCGTGTTGTTAATTTTTATTGGAGAGAATACAGAGCCTTTGTAAACAACTAGTCAAGGTACCTAATTTGATTTTGACCATCTCTCCATTGAAGAAGTACGAGACACTTCGTTCCTCAATTTTTCTGAACCCTTCTAATTTTGTCCTATTATTATTCTACAATCTCACAGCTTTCCCTAAAGTGTAACGCACTAAAATCTGAATTTTTGAATGGATTTGAAATAGACGATAATCATTTCCCCCATGGGTCCTTCAGCTGCGTGTGCGTGACAAACGTATAAACTGGCTTCGGATCGATGAAACGAAGAGTTTCGGTTCTGACCACCGCAGATTCGCGTGGCTTTCCTCGAATTTGCATTCCGCATCGGTGAAACCGTATCCTATTTCATGTATCTCGCCAGCTGCGACTTTCTCTTTCACTTTTTCTACCCCTCCCGTAACGTGCAGTGAACCAAAGAAGTATTTACACGCTCAATTTTTTCCAAATGATCGAGAAGTAGTACATTAAGGTATACATTTCCGTAGTTCATTATTCATCCCATTTGTTTCTGTTTACTTTCGACTTAATTTTCGGTTAATGACTGGCCTTTTCCTTGTTTTTCCATATACAATCGATCCCATAAATACTGGTACCCTCCATGTCTATCGAAGAAGTTCAACTAAATTGAATAATAATTTTGATATTACCAAATGAATTTTTCATCGTAAATATGAATCATCAAACATCAAACCTACCATTTAATTTAAACAAATTTCTTTAATAAGCATAGAGGATACGAATATTTATGAGACTGACTGTATGCCAGCAAATATAAATTCTATATATAATACATTTTCTCACTGTTTAACACTAAAACTACCAAGCCAGTCAATTTTACCCATGCACTATAAGTATAAACTTCTTCTTAAAAGTGCTCAAATATCAACAATTCTTTATTATAATTTATATGGAATTTTTATAGGCAAGTATTATAACAGAAAATGAATTGTATTGACAACTTAGTATGCTCCTCCTCCCTCCAATTACAAAGATATACTTTTGTGTATGATAAATACGTATATGTTAACCTCGGTAGTTTTGGTGCTAAGCACTCAAGTCTGATTCATAAACTCTTGGGACATAAAAATGAATTTTTTGTTGCCCCTCTCGTGACTTATCGGCTGAACCCCATTTGACTCTCGAAGATAGCTTGAACAACATCTGTTTACATCCGTGACACAATGTACTATTACGAAATACATCGCAGAAGACTGTGGAAATGTTTACACTACGAAAGTTTCTTTCCTCTCATACTATTTTTAAACATAAAATTATTAATCTTTCGGAGTCAACCTGTTATTTCTATCTATAACGAAACACTAAAACGCGTACATCATGCCAATGCATTGCTTCTGTACAAGCAATTATCTTAAAAAAAAAAAAAAAACCCGCTGCTATACTTTCTCGACCCCCCACTGTGCATGCTACAGGGCGACCCAAAAAATAGGAAACTTTCTTCTCTCACTCTCTCGTCGTCGTCGTCGTCATCGTCATCTCCTTCAACTTCTCCTGCACTCGTCCCCGCTCTCAGGCCCGATGCAACGAGAGGCTTAAAATCGTTCAGACACGGAATACCGACTCGTCGGGACCGCGTCAGATATGAATCGATCCCGAGTCGCGTGGAAAAAGTGCCATTATCGAGCGACCCGACGGGAACAGAGTAAAGAATGCGTACATACCAAACGGAATACCGTGGAAAGGTGGCGAAGGTGTTGGCAGAGACGAAAGAAGAAGAAACCGAAGAAAGTGGACAACGACGATGGCGACAACGGGACGAGATACCGTTGCGCGATGCGCCTATCGAATGAATGCGCAATGCGGATCAAACTTCAAGGAAAATCGACGTGTCTGGTGTGCGAACGATACTGGAACGGTACTCGATTCTGCGCAGACTTTCGTCCACGGTGAATGACTTTCGCCTAAATGGCGAAAACGAATTACAGTAGAACCTCGCTTATCTTGGGACAAGGCAGTTCTGATAACGGAATAGTTTAGATAGTAGAGGTCCACTATCAGTGATACTTTCACCATAGACCTCCACGCTCGACCATGGCCTCGTTGTTACGAGGGGCTAAAGGGTACAGGACTCAGCTACAGGGGGCTAAGGGGTACTAAGCTCAGCTTTGAGTTCCTATATCAAGGCTGAGCATGATTGTATTCGTATAAACAAGGTTCTACCGTACTCGAATTCCAACCCCCTGAAACCTTCACGTCTACTGCAAATTCCTACACCAGAAGCTGAGCATAATTTTGTTCCTATAAACGGAGCTCTACTATACTCGAATTGCAACCCCTTCGAGCGTTGATGTCCACGCGATCGCACCATGACCGCGCACACGCGTACACCATGCGTTTACCTCGGCGTTAGCTGATCTCGTTGTGGGAACACGCGTGTCGTGTGCTTTCTACGCGCACCTCTCGCCAGTCCCGCGTGAACACAGTGTCTTCAACGAATCAGACAATTCGAACACGTAGGTCGAGTCGAGCCCATCGTTGACGCGACTGACGCGAGCAAACGCGAGCAACCGACGCATCGAGCGAAACGGGTACGAAGGGCTTCGAGGTCGCCCTCTTTCTTCCATAATCGAGGGTAGCTAGGCGTCTCCCCTCTTCGATCCTCCGTGCGGCTCGCGCGAATCCCTTCTCTGCCGCAGCGAGAGAACATTTACACGGCCAGCCCTTCTCCATCGGTACACGCCCGATCGATCCGAATAAAACAGAGTAGAATGTGTCGCCGCTCGACGCGTCGCGATGCATAATGGATTATCTTCGAAAAGATTCTATCGCTTGGACCCTGGGGGTCGGCAAACTACGGCTCGTCTGTTTTTAAACCGACTCTGTGGGTCAATATTAGAGATAATTGATCAATTACGCGGGTCGTTATTAAGGGACGATCGTTTCCAAGCAACTTTAATTGTAGAGAGTGATAACTTAGAATAAGTTATCATTACTTAGAATAACTTAGAATAAGTAGAAAATTGATCCTGTTCCAGAGTTATTTGGTACAATCAGAGAGATTATATGGAGTATACAGGGTGTCCCAAAAGTCGGGGAGGAGCCGGAAATGGGGTGTAGCTGAGATGATTCTGAACAACAATTTTCTTTGCAAAAATGTCGGATGAGGCTTCGTTAAGGAGATATTAAGAGAAAACCCCGACCAATCAGAGCGCGCGTAGACCGTTGGAGCGGCCGCGGTAGCGAAGGCTACGCGCTGGCGGCCGCGCTTGTACGCGCGAACAAGTGACTCGACGTGCATCGAAGGACATTGACGCTGCCGCCTAGCGCGTAGCCTTCGCTACCGCGGCAGCTCGAACGGTCTACGCGCGCTCTGATTGGTCGAGGTTTTTGCTTAATATCTCCTTAACGAAGCCCCATCCGACATTTTTGCAAAGGAAATTGTTGTTCAGAATCGTCTCAGCTACACCCCATTTCCGGCTCCTCCCCGACTTTTGGGACACCCTGTATAATTTGCTTGGAAGCAATGTGGCGAGGAAGATTTGGAAAACAAACTATTTTTCTTTTTTTAAGTGTCACTCGCGAACCTTTGCTTGGAGACACCGAAAGAACGAAAAACTGCGATCGATATTGGACGGCATACAAAGAAAATGATCTTTACAATATTAAAAAGATAATCCATTCTCCCTCTTTGTGTTTTGACTGTGATCATTTTGTATATCATTGAATACAGTTTTGCAATTCGTATGGCTGTGTGAGTACTTCCAAAACACGTTTCTCCCGTACCGTCTACATTTCTTATTTTATATAGAACTAACATTCTTTTTAAAATGTTTAAACTATCACAGTTTCAGTTCGGGATTCCCGGTATTTTCGCTCAAATTAACAACCATCTAGCGGTGAAAGTACCATACTAATTTTCAGAGTTTGATCAGGACCTCTATCGGGAAAATGCTTAAGCTTGTCCTCTAATAGTTCCTTTTGTCACCGCTGGATAGCGCAATTTATACTGTTTTTACCGACACATGTGTAATAATAATTTAAGATTTATGAAAATCACACAATTCAACTCAAATATTATGAAAGTGAAGAACACCTTTCTTCAGATGTGATTATATTATCCAGCGGTGTTCCCAGCAACTAGCACTCGATTTTCAATAGAAGTACGAGTTAGTTTATTTAATGTTTAGTTAAATTTATGCTTATCTATATAATCAATTTTTAAATGAATTACACATTATAAATTACAAAAATGTTTAATAAAATAATTTATACACAATGTATAATTATGTAAATTCAGGTGCACAGCTTCTTGTCGCTGCTACTACAGACAATGTTACAGCTGATGCAGCAGCAACATGCCAAGAAAATACCAGAGCAATGCTTCCTGGTAAAAATGATGCTGTATGGTTCAAACGTACCATGTGTGCTATCCAACTGCCATGGAGTAATGTGGTACAGGCTCTGAAAAGCTTTAATTCAGGCCAAACAAGCTCTAAAATAATGGCTAGAGATGTTGCCCACACTATAAAAGCTAAAATTAAATTGATTACTGCATTGTTCCCTATGCTTTCCCATAAGAAAAGGAATCCTTCCATGAAAAAGCTTTGACAAAGTGCCAGTTTAACTAATCCATCGCTTACATTGTGAGGGAAATAAAAATTCAAAATATCAACAAGACCAGAGAATGCAAAAAAAAGGTAGATCGTAGCTAGTACAACCTTTGGAGAGACCGTACCAACTTGTTCCAAACCACCAGTTATTGTACTGGCTAGACCTATGGCAGTTGCGATCAATTTCAAACTTCCCTCTATCGGATGTCTATTTAACAGCTTCTCACATTTCTCTATGAACACCAATCCTTTTGTCATATTTAAATCATCTCTAGGTCTCAGAGACACCCAATACTTAGCATAATCATAGCACCATTTTAACCCAAAACTGTAGAAGATTAATCCAGTGAGAATGCATGGCAAATGGCTATCCATTGAATACATTTAAAACTATTGCTTTGCTGTAGTGAACCTATAAATGGTACAAAAAACAGTATATACTTAATATTATTAGTGTTTTTAATTAAGTATTTTCATAGCTCTTCAGAATCTCAATACAAAACAATAGAATAATATATTTAATAAATATATTTAATAAATATACTTAATAGAAATATTTATTTCAAATTACTCACTATGTATTACAATTAGTTTGCGCTTCTGGATATTTTAAATTGTTACAATTTCAGCATCTAATGATGCATAAAGAATTTAACGTCTTAGCGTGGTTATGGGTTAAAATCTTATGGATTACAAAGACGAAAGCAGACGAATGGGGTGTAGGCCGTTGCGTTTTAAATGTAACCAAATATAACGTTCTGTAGTCTGAACAAGAGATTTTTTCTAGCTCGGACGTTATGGAATTTCAATTAACAATAAGTTTATAGAAATTTTTCAGTAATACAATACAACATAAAACACTCAGCCATTTTTACTTTATTTCGTTAAAAAGTTATGTCGAAAAAATGTAAAAACTATAAAAACTAATTCCACTCCTTCAAAATCGTTCTTTGTAATTTTATTCTATATTCACATAAAGTTTAATTTAAATCAAAATTTCTGGGATTGAATACTTACCTTATAAGGGAAAGTATGATTACAGTTTCACCATACAGTTTTATAACAAATGAAATTGATAATAAAAATTTATTTTTTATTTAAGTATTGGAAAACAATATGTTATTATTGTCATTATGCAACAACGTTCGAAAGGTAAAAAGACAAAGATTAATAAATGTGAATTGGTTTTTGTGAAAGATGCGAAATTTGTATAGAAATCGTATTGATCGCTTTGATGAATGATCGATTTACTATTCCGAGTTTGAAACGTTAGATATGTTATATTTTATTTTAAAGTCATTAAGTTGTATATCTCAGTATTTTCCATACTGTACTATTTTTAATAATGGTTTATTTTACGAGGTAACATAGATTAGAATACAATAATATAAAATTCCACTAGAAAAAAGATGTTTATTTAAATATTTAAAAAGAAATAAGAAATACCATTTAATAATGTTAGAAAATACTTTTATCATTCTATCAGTCCCGAATAAATTGATGTATCATTGTCCTTATTAGAATACAATTTTGCCATCTCTATATACTATAGGACATACTATAGGACTTAAAAATGTTCATGTGCACAAATGTATTGTTTGTATCAAATATGGTATACATCATGAATTGAGATATCACTGTAACATTTATTATAAATAATGCGTGTTAAGTACATTTTTGTTATAAATGTCACATTTGGTCTCATTCATATTCCCTCCATCAGTGGGCATCGTTTTAGGGTGCATAAATTACCATTGCGGTCCTGGTTTTACTCATTATTGGTGCTTCTCATCACAGCGATCAACTGTTGCTATACGGCGTTGCCACATAGAGCGATCGTTTTTCAGTTGGAGAGCGCCACAACTAAAGGGTTAACTCTTTATTATTGTACAAATTTAGGATTATTTCAATACTTAAATAATTTCTTACATTTACATTTCAAAGGACTATTTGAAAATATTTTTGAATCGCAATAAAGTACATTATTCTTTAAGGAAGTATTTATTACACATACGTGATTATAATGTAATACATGTTGCATACCTTCTAAATGAAAATATAGATGAAATCAGATGCATTAAATTTTGTTCTTAATCTAAAGCCATTCCTTCGTCGTCATCTTTCTTATCGGGACTAGATGTCGGCGAAGCTTGTTTCGTATTATTGTCCTCTTGCCCTTGTTGTGTTTGTTCTTGACCAGTCTGAGCTTCAGATTCAAGAGCAGTGACGAACTCTTCAATGTTTCCACTGGTAGCGGCATCAACGGCATCCGGTCCCAAGCCAAATTGACGGATGACGGGTCCCGCCTGGCCTGACTGCAAAGCAGACCAGAACATTGATAGCGCCTGGGAGAACTGGGGAGACAATAGCGTGGTACACAGGTGGTCCCCTGGTGGCAAGTGCGGGCTCATTGCACGCTCCAAGCTTTCCGATGCAGAGATCGCCGCAGGGATGGCATTGGTCAGCTCAGTTGCTACGCCCCTCTGCCGGACAATAAGCTGTGCTGTAGGTGGCCGAAAACAACAAATAATCCCAGAGAAACTTCCCCAACTGCTCAGCAGAGCCAGAGTCTCCGACAGCCAGGTAAAGTTCGAGTAGAAAACAGTATTAAAAAATGAGAAAACCATGCTTCTACCTTTGATTCTATAATAGGTATAGTTAAATTACTGTTGGATACCACTGAGTTTAGCACGAGAATAAAATTTGTATAATATTACAAAGCTAAAGTTTCAAACTTAAAACGATATTATGCCATTTTTTATGATTTTGTCGTGTAATTATTCATAATGATATTTTCAATAATATTATGACAGAATGAAAAAAACAAGAAAGTAAACTAAAAAGTTAAGGCTATGAAAAGGAATTGATATTTAGATGACCATGCAATATCTGTTAGATAGTAACATTGCTTTCCTTGTAAGTAATTACGATCTCATTATTTTTAATGTAGAAAACACAGGGATTGGCTTTTGCTTGCACAGCTATTTAAAAAGTTGTAGAACTGTCATGGTTTCAACAAGTTTGACTGACACTCCCAGTGTACTATCAAGAATACCCATTCAATTCCTGATAATGATAAGGACTGCAAAAAAAGATATATTAACAAAAAAATAGATAACTTGTTTTAGCAAACTAGTGTATTGAATGAAATATTGCGAAATATCTAAAACTTTAGATTATATAAGAAATATATATCATTTTACGTTTTTCTTTTAATTTGTATAGTAATATAGCTATTAAAGAACTACTTTACATAAAATCATAATATGTGTTAAAAAAAGATGAAAATTTACAGATTATACTACAAGATTAGAGTCTTGAAAAAAGATTATACATGGGAAGTCTGTTATCTTATCAAAATGATTATGACAATGAAATTGTTTTTCCACCTAATTATGATTTATAATAACATTGAAATGACATATACAAGACATTTGTGATCATATTAATTAAGAATAAACAAAATGAATATTGATTTTATAAATTTAATAGTATTTTAAACTCAAAACATATTTATAAACATTAAGAATGTTGTTGAACGATTTAAACATATGTATTTATTCATTACACAAATAACATTTTATTTTATAACAAATATTAATGTTATTAGTATTGCGTTTATATATATGAAAAAATAAATGTTTCACATAACAATGCTATACATTATTCTGCATAGTGTTCAATCACTTACAACAACATTTTTAATGAAGCAGTTATATATTGAAAACGTGTTCAACAAGCTGAAAATTTAGAAATAATAATATATGTTAAATATAACTATTTAAAGAATATAAGATATTACCTGAACTACAGATTCTGTTTCTGTTGATGTTGGAATTTTTGATAGAAAGGTTTGTAGATCACTAAGTCGTATTTTGTTGTTCGTACTTGTTGTTGCTCCAGGTGTTGATGGAGCTGGTGTTGTTGTTGATTGCTTATTATCTCCTACATAAAGACTTATTATATGAGTCTGAACACGTTATTTATCTAATAAATTCACTTACCATTAGGTTTCGGAGTATCATTAGCAGATGCTGGTAAGGACACTGTTTGTGGCGTAGGTCCAACAGGATTTATAGTAATGCGAGGATGCTGCAGGTGTCGATGATTTGGAACATTAAAGTGAGATGCAGTAAGTCGAGGGTGTGTAAGAGCTCGAGCAGATCTAGTTGTTGCAGAAGTACTGTTCGTGGTCTGTCCACTATGAGGTCTATTCATTGTACCCAGTAAACTACCTAGACCACCAATTTGACCTACTCCACCAAACAGCTGCATTAGTTGCTGTTGGGACATATTATTTAATATATTTTGAAAATCCCTCTCTGGGTTTGCATTGCCACTTCTTTGTGACCCAGGAGTTGGTGGATTATTAAGAACTTCATTAATTTTTCTACAATATTCCTCATCTTTATCTGTCTTAAGATCCTACAAAATAACAAAACGTTTATCCAGTTATTAAGTAACACATGAATTTTTCGAAATTTACCGATGAACGTATAGTAGAGTAACAATGGAGTCATAATTCATTATGTAAAATTTGTCTCACCTGAAGCCAAACAAAAAACTTTTTGTTAGATGACTTAAATCTTAAAAGATATACCCTTCCAGTTTTGCATTGAGGAACGTGTTTAAATTCACAATCATCAGGAAAAATAATTAAGTCCTACAGAAGAAACGGAAAAGCGTTTAGAAGGACGTTTGTAAATTTAAAAGGATCATATGAATTCAAAGGTACATGCAATTTTGCATTAATTTAGCATTTCAATAAAACAGAACGGTATTAAAAAATTTACATCTTCAACAAATCCTGTCGTACGATCTTTCCAACAGAAATGCATCAATGAATCGTCAGATTGATAAACGTACAGCTGGCCTTTACGTGTGTCTGGATAAACCATTTTCTCTTTCATGGTCATTTTCCCTGCTTTGAATTCCACCAAATTTTTCGAAGTACCGCGTGATGCATTATTTCCAAAAAGTGCTCCTCCCGACATACTTGGTTCTTTTAAATAAATGTGTTTTGTTTTGATAAATATATTAAACCTTGGCAGGCGGTTAATTTTTCGTTACACTGCGCACTGATGACACTGCACTTTAAAGTGGCGTATTAGAAGATTTCCGATCATATATCGAATTTACAGTGATACCTCCCGGTTTCTACCAGAGGGCTGATAACAGTTAAGGATTCTCGCTGCTCGTTGATCAGAAAAGATTCCTATGGTAGTAATTAAAATGTTTCTAGTAATTATATTCTCGGAAAATTCCCTTGGATACTGGTTACTACTAGTGGTACTAGTGTTTTTGTACTTGGCAAAGCCGTGGTGTAAACCACTGACTAGTAAAGTGGAATTTAATATCAGTGAGAATTTTTTAATTTTGTAATCACTTTGTGGTGCAAAGTAAGCCTTTTGATCCCCCTCAGGGGCTGTAGCGGTATTTGTAGCTACAGTACGGGCTTAGCAACCCCGAGGTACCCGAGCTAAAGGGGGGCCAGCGGGCCCCAATAGATGAGAAGTAAGAGATACTGCAAATAGTTTTAAAATAATGCAGGAGTCATGTAAGACGATGATAAGAAGAATGGAAATAAGCTAGTAATAAATAAGCAGTAGTGCAATAACGTTGTGTAGTAAGTTACGCATTTTAAATAAATAAATAAATAAATATCAGTGGCGCCATCGGTGATAAAACGCCCAAGTTTGTAGTGAAAATAGTTCTCACTGTTTCTATAAGATGGCCCCACCGATTCATTTCAATCAAGTATTCTTTATTTTTCATAAATGCATGATTAATGCAATTTTTTACTTTATAACACTACAATATATCAATTATATGCCAAATTTATCGTTTTTATGAATAGTTATTTAATACAGTAGTAATTATCAACTCTTTAGTTAGTAGCGCCATCAATGATAAAATGTCCAAGTTTGTACCGAAAATGGTTTCCGCTGTTTTTATAGCAATTATTTTTTATTTACTATTCTTCGGTTCGTAACACTACAATGTATTCAATATATCGTTTAACCATTTATTTGATTTTATTTATGTATTCTGGTCTACAAGTTCAGACTCCGAACCTCTAATCACTATTTGCAATAAACGTAAACGTATTTTCCCTAAAAGTAGCTTCATCTTAAATAAAATAATAAATGTATGAAATAATAAAATGATAAAAGTTAATATATCAAATTTATCAATTGTATGAATAGTTATTTAATGCAGCAGTTGATAAAGTAACTTTGGTTAGTGGAGCCATCTAGTAGGAGTAGTGGTAACTAATTTTTACTACAAACTTGGGCGTTTTATCACTGGTGGCGCCACTAGTACTAATCCACTTAACTATACTAATGCACCCTTAATTTATTCGCAGTGCAAATGTTTGATAATTTGAAAAATCTACGTCTAATGAAATAATTCGAATATAATTAGAATACTCGACCAATCGAAATAGAAAGAATAAGCAAGAATTATTAATTGACTGTTATACCTATTCGTTCTATTCATTTGAAAACTAGACTGAATCAATAAAAATAGATAGATCATCAATGAAAATGAAGAAATAGAGTTACATTTTATTGTACGTAATATATTCATTATCTTGAGGGGTAAAATAAATATTTACACAATTAAACTATATATTATATTAAATTCCTTGTTAAATATATTTATCTGACAGTTCGTTTATATTTACAATTACGCTATGTGCCACATTATATATTCTGAGAGGGATAAAAGTAAATATAGGAGGGATTAAAGTTATTTAAAACTGTTAACCAAAACTCCTCGTATTTGTTCGCTTCGACGCGTACATGTAGTATCTTATTGACTTTCAAGTATAAAGTTACATATTCTCAATTACATTGGCTTCGACCACATTGTTATTGATTTATACACGTACAGGGAAGCCTGATCCTGACGGAAACCAGATCCTAATGCACGATTTGATTTATTAGCCTTTCCAAGACCCGTCTAACGTCATTGCTAATCTTAGACTGATTCTTGAACGCATCTCCTGCGGTTACGAGAATTTTCCAAAGCGCGAGTTTCATATTACTTCGTATAACGCGAACAGTATACATCGTAATACCGATAAAAATGCGTGGAAGGAAAAACTGTCTTCGCATATTAATTACTTACGCGCTGGATACGCGACACTTTACTTAACGAATAGCATTCAAACTGTTTATGCTGTCCAATGATTAGTTTGGTATAAATCTATATCGAGATCTATAAAAAAAAAAAAAAAAAAAAAAAAAAAAAAAAAATGAAACAAATTTTTGCTTATATTCTATTGCTTCGGCTATAATTTATAAAAGCAAGCGTTTAGTTAAACAGTCGCTGTCCGTAATGAGACTTCAATTTTTCAATGCGCAGTCAATAAAATTTTATTTGATGTACAAGCAATTACACATGTATTTTAGAATGTGAAGTCGGACTTTGCATTCATACATTACAATGAATAATTACGTTTAGTATATCGTATCAAAGCTTTAGAATTACGAGTAAAACAACTGAAATTTATTGACGTTTGATGGAAGAGGCATAGGGTTGCTTAAACATTAATGCTTACGATTAATAAAATTTCATTCGATTCACAAGGAATTACATATGTTGGAACGTGAAATTGGACTTTGTATTTATACGTTACAATAAACTATCGCATCTATATATTATAAATTCTGTGACGTCTGGTGGAAAGGGCTTAGCGCAGGGTAATGTTTCTTTTATTCGACGTTCTGTTCCGTCGTTGTTCCGTTATCCAGGCGTACTTGTTGATTCCAACGCACTCACACACCTGAAACTTTGCTCACCTTTATTTTCTCCAAGCAAGAGAGTACAGGCCTAGGTAAAAAGCAAATTTCAGGCGTAAGAGTACTGTCGTGGCCACTCGCTTCCGTGAAAGCTTGTAAAATAACAGATCGCACGAAGAATGACCATCCATTTTCCCAAACGATTGTTACGCTATAGATTCATTGTACTCTACCACAGAATTAGACTCCGTAATTTCATTCCAAGATACAGGACGATCGGGTACCTCGAGCACCTTTATTCGTGTTCGCAACGTCCACGACGGTAGACTGCCACAGACACACCTGAAACTTTGCTCACCCAAAGGGCAAAGTACGGGTAGAGCAAAGAGTCAGGCCCGTCCGTGACGTTCGAGTTTTGTGCGATCGTTGTCCCCCCTGTCCCTTAGTGTTCCTCTTTCTTCGAATGGTTGAATCGCGTTGCTGGGTCGTTGGGAGAGGACCGCTGGAAAGTAGAGCTGCTGATTCCTCGATGAGAGAAGATTCGAGGAAACGGGTTACCGATAAGACAGGGACCCTCGAGAGCCATTAGAAGCTGCAGGAAAATAGGGTGCCAGGGAGGAGAACGAAGGAAGAAAGAGGCGAAGAGCGCAGAGAACTCCGAAGCTGCACTCAGCGATGACGGTCGAGGAATCAAGACCACCGTTCGCGGTTCATCCTACTTTGGACTCTTTCTTCCTTTTTCCCTCGAGACGGCACTCGAACTACCATTGTTCACGGTTCGTCTGAAACAGAATTGAAAAGACGCGTGATATTTACCGGTAGATTTCGTCCGCGTTGTAAATATTTTAATGGGGCGGGGATGACTCGACGGGGAGCAACTTTCTAAATTGGTTTTTGGATGAGAATTATTGTCATCGTCGTTATTAACGGGAGAATCTTTCGATGTAACATGTACAATACGGGAGAAGCGTGTCAAGAAATATTGCGAGATTCGATGCTTTAATTTTTGAAATTATAGCGAAAAGTAATTTGATGTACGATGATTGGACTGCGGATGTTCATGTATTTATGGCAAGTGAACATGTAGGGGAAATTTATGAGGACATAATTTGTTCATTGTTTCTTTCTTTTCATAACTTAAATAATTCTATTACCACTTGTTGTAAATACACATATATTCGAAGCATTATTATTTTGCACCCTTAAGAGTTACTAAATTTAATTATAAACAGGACAATATAAATTCGTAATTATTAAATTCATACATTTATGCCAAACGAAAGTACATGAGTGTGCACAAATATCAAATATGCATAAAATAATAAATAAATATACACGAAATAACAAATAAATAAATATACATAAAATATACATAAAATATCAAGTACAAAATACATGTTACTTCGTTGAGAAGATAAGAAATACTTCAATTTAAATTTAATTTCTATATCTATAAAAAAACGAGTTTGCATAAGCGTATGCAGTCTAGTAATTACGATACAGAGTTGTAATATGATATGGATACCCACGAAACACAATAAACGTAGGAATTTATGTTGCATTTCCTCGATAAGGAAGCTATGCGTCATTAAAATATCGCGTTCAATAAGAGAGCTATCGCGGCATTAAAATACCGCGCTATTCTATTTATAAAGTCGAGGGCTTGAAAACCTTGGTTTAAAATATTGCGATAATGTTCAGCAAGAAACAGGTTACTTAGGAAAATTAATTAAAGAACAAAAAAGAAACAAAAAATTGAAATAAACAGTTACGCATTACTGCATCATTTTTTAGATTAAAACGAGGTTAATTTATTCACTAAAGACTATCTTATAAATCGATTGCGATGATTCTTTATTAAAAACAAACTGTGAAGATTGTTTATGGTAGTGTACATCTTTGGATCGTCAGTATATAGAAATCGAGCAAATTTGAAAACATTAGAATTATCATTTATAAATCAATCGAAAACTAAAAGTACTACAGATTAAATTTTAATATTTCTGTAATATAAATTTACGTGATATACAATTTTGTATACTAACAAAGGCTCTAGATTACAGAATCAATCAATTTCTAGAAGAATTTCGTATTTATACGTGATTATGAATAATCGATTGTCACCGATCGATGCGCGAATATGTAGATATCCATGCCAGAAAAATCGATAATTTCTGTACTAAATTGTTAAAATGTAGTTGCACGTGTTGGATAATTTATCAGATATTTATAAACGTATTCGGACCGCGATTAATACCGTTTCGAGTAGTGCGAGATTCGATTTTCGAACGGCAGTACAAATTGACACCGGGCTGCATTTAACGCGAATCAATAATTCCATTTAGTGCGAAGTGTAAATTA